CGCGCGTCGCCAGAGATGAGTCTGCTCAGCAGTGTGGTAATGCAAAAGGGTTCTCCTAGGTTTGGGGTTTAGGGTTTAGGGTTTAGGGTTTAGGGTTTAGGTCCTCAGACCCCAAAGCCTTCAAAACCCTAAAGTTGAACCTTGACCAGCCTAGTTTGCTCTGGGCTTGGGGGGATTAAGGGTTTACAGGTATAGGGTTTAGGGTTATTTGAGTCATCGGGCTTTGGGAACACCTGCAAGGAGCAACCCAGGGCGACTATATCCTGGAGCTTAGGATTCAAACCCTAAACCCTAAACCCTAAACCCTAAACCCTAAACCCTAAAGCCTAAACCCTAAACCCTAAACCCTAACCCCTATCCCTTCAACTGAGGATGGCAGCCGACGGATCCCAGCCCCTGCACGCGCCTGCTGAGTCGGGCTGCACGGCGGGGGCTCCTCTGGCAGCAGAGCTTTGACTTTGGGGTTTAGGGTTTAGGGGATTAGGGTTTAGGGTTTAGGGTTTGGGGTTCAGGGTTGGGGGTTTGGGGTTTTGGGGTTTTGGGGTCTAAAACCCTCAGGGTTTAGGAGTTTGGGTTGAGGGTTGAGGGTTTAGGGTGTAGGGATTTTTGAGTTGTAGGGGTTGGGGTTCAGGGGGTTAGGGTTGAGGGTTTAGGGTTTAGGGATTAGGTTTTTTTTTTGGGTTTAGGGATTGGGGTTTAGGTTTCGGGGTTTGGGGTTGGGGTTTGTGGGTTTTTTTTTGCGGTTCTACCTTGAAGTTGACCATGAGTTTCCCAAAAGCTACTCACCGAAAGTGATCGGCATGCAGGGCGCCGCCATCCAGACTCTACAGGAGTCATCTGGGCAACGGTGACTTTTGAAGGCAGCTTCGAGCCGGCGATATTGGAGTGGGTGGGGGATCCAGGCCAAGTTGAGCTGGCAGAAACGATGGCGCGTCAGGCGTGCCGGAGTCGGAGTTAGATGTCGTCTTGGATCAGGTCGCGGACGTTGCCTCGGCATCTGCAGCCTTCGAGATTACCGATAAGTACGCGAAGTATCGTACTGCTCAAGTTCGTTCTTTACGGGAAGGAGGGGCGCTGACGGGTGGATTTGTGCCCCCCGGCTTCATTGCTCCTCCCTCCACAGGGGTTCCCGCGCCTCTAAGTCCTGAATTGTTTCCTGGGACACGCCTCCCACCCTACCCTAAACTTGAAACCTTCAACCCTAAGCCGAAGCCCTATAAGCCCTAAACCATAAACCATAAACTCGACGGCCCCCTCAGCCTGCATTAGCATCGCTATCTTCGCAAACCCTAAGGGTCCATGAAGCGATATGGTAAATACTTGGGGCCAACAGTAGTAACCCATCTTAACACCCTTTTTGGGGGAGTATACTACGGTTCGGCCGGGTGCGCCAAAACGGACCAGTAGATTATATGGACTTCATTCCTAAAGGGTCCATGTACCTACATCGTATATTCTTGGGCCAGGGGCTCCTGCATAGTAGTGTTTGGCCCAAGTTTAATTCTGCATTCTAGATACCCGGACCCTTCTAGTGATTTCCCCACCCCTAAACCCTAAACCCTAAACCCTAAACCCTAAACCCTAAACCCTAAACTCTAAACCCCGTTCGCAGCCCAGGACTTGGCGCCGGAGCCGCGGCCACCACGCCTCTCTCGGAGCCAGTCTGCGCGGTGGAAACAGACAGCTGTGGTACCCTAAACCCTAAACCCTAAACCCCAAACGGTTCAGGGTTTCTCCCTAAACCCTAAACCCTGAACCCTAAACCCTAAACCCTAAGGCTTTCGGCTTTGGAATTTGGTTTGATGTTGTGGGGTTAGGGTTTCTAGGGAAACTCTAGAGTGCGAACTCACCGGCCTATGTAGGCTCACAGGCGTCGGACGTAGGGCTCAGAGGTTTAGGGTTTAGGGTTCAGGGTCATTAGAACTTACCCTCACGCATCTCATCTCTGCACCCGCGTAGGATGCCAGAGCTTTGGGACATTTAGGGAGGGTACGAGGACACTCCAGCTTGTTCGGCTCCATACATTTTGAGATTGATTGCCGGGAGGGATCAGGTCTTGGGTGGCTTAGGGACCTGTGGGGTTTAGGTTCTGCTCCGTAGCTGAGCTCGATAGCAGTCAAAAAGGGTGCAAGGCCTGTGCAAAAAAGCCACGGCACCGTGCACGCGTTTAATGCCAGCAGTTCCCATCATGATATTACTGTTATTGGTGCGGGTATAAGGTTTCTTATGATGCTAGTGAGTGTATATAGTATATGTGTGGTGTACTTTTGGGGATACTTACTCGAAATGCAAAGGCCCGACTTCATAGAGTTGCATACGCGCGGTGTAAAGTGGCCGGTTTGCACACCTTTGTTTATACATCTGCATGCTCACCTGCGCACGCTACCGTCCACGCGTCTACCCTAAACCCTAAACCCTAAACCCCAAACCCCAAACCCTAAACCCTAAACGCTAAACCCCAAACCCTAAACCCTAAACCCTAAACCCTAAACCCTAAACCCTAAACCCTAGAACCTAAACCCTGGATTCCCAGCCTTCAGGTCCAAGTTCTGACGCTCCGGCTACGTAAATCGTTCAGGGCTTGTTTCATGTCTAGGGGGTTTGGGTATAGGGTTTGTACAGGGTGGGGCCCCCTTACTATACTAACTGTAGTTAAGGGACTTATAACCTAACTTAGGGTCCTTATAACCCAATTTGGGGCCCTTATAACTCTACTTATAACTAGGGGGCCCCACCCTGTAGAGGGTTTGGGTATAGGGTTTGTAGGGTTTTAAGGGTTTATGGGGTTTTCAGGGACTGTAGGGTTTTAAGGGTTTTTGTTGGGGGGTTTCTAGGGTTTTTAGGGTTCATATTGAGAGGTTTGAGGCTCCTTCTTTCTCACAGATGCAGTTGCGAACTCTAGACCGAGCCTCGTCCTGCAACCCCGAAAGCCGTACTTGAAGCAATCCTAAATCCTTACTTGGAGGTTCATTGTACTTGTAATAACCCACTTATGAGCCCCTCAATTGCCCTATTATGGTTATAAGAGTACAGTGAGAAGTACAGTTTTAAGCTATAATTGGTTGCTAAGTATCCTGAAAAAAAACCAAGTAGGGTCTAGGGTTTAGGGTTTAGGGTTTAGGGTTTGGGGTTTGGGGGTTAGGGTTCAGGGTTTAGGGTTGTCTCTTTTAAGACCTGCACCCATGGCAAACCTCCCAGACCCGAACCCCTACAGCAACTCTGATCCCTAAACCCTAAACCCTAAACCCTAAACCTTAAACCCTAAACTCTAAACCCTAAACCCTAAACCCTAAACCCTAAACCCTAAACCTTAAACCCTAAACCCTAAACCCTAAACCCTAAACCCCTTTGAACTCTCCCTTAAGCACCCTAAGCCCTCCAGCCCTAAGGCGCCTTCGCAGGCTCAAAGGAGGCGGGTTTAGGGTTTAGGGTTTAGGGTTTAGGGGTTTAGGGGTTGAGGGTTGAGGGTTGAGGGTTGAGGGTTGAGGGTTGAGGGTTGAGGGTTGAGGGTTGATTTGGGGTTTAGGGTTTAGGGTTTTGGGAGGCTTTCTGGTTTATAGAAAATGTAAAGGCTTTGTGTCTGGAGTTTTGTCGGGTTTGGGGGTGTTGGGGTGTTTTCTTTTGCTTTTCGAATTTGGGGGTTAGAGGGAGTTTGAGGGGTTTGGGGGGGGGGGGGGGGGTTTAGGGCGGGATTTGGGTATGGAATAAACCCTAAACCCTAAACCCTAAACCCTAAACCCTAAACCCTAAACCCTAAACCCTAAACCCTAAACCCTAAAAATCGATGGCTCTCCAGGCTCTCCCGGAGAGGCCTTGCCCGAAAAGTGGTTTCGAACGAATGGTTTTGAGCGAAAAGTTTGGAGTCCATAGGGTTTAGGGTTTAGGGTTTAGGGTTTAGGGTTTAGGGTTTAGGGTTGAGGGTTTAGGGTTGGGGGTTGAGGTTGAGGGTTGAGTGTTGGGGGTTGGGGGTTGGGGGTCGGGGGTCCGGTCGGGGGTTTAGGGTTTAGGCTTTAGGGTTTAGGGTTTAGGGTTTAGGGTTTAGGGTTTAGGGGTATGTAGCCCAAGGTTCCCTAGTAAGTACTCCCTTAAGAACCCTTTAAGAATGGAAGGTTTTGAAAGAAAGACTTGAGCGAAAGGTTTTGAGCATTTTGAGCCAGTGGTGGAAAGGTTTTGAACGAAAGTTTCTGTTTGGGCTTTTGGTGTCTTGTGAAGACCTGTCTCTTGAAGCCTTTTTGGCCTTTTTGGCCTTTTGGCCTCTTTGCAGGATTGTTGTAGCCAATCAAAATGGCAATTTTTGCGAAAAGTGAAGGATTATTGTAGCCCCCCAGAAATTACAGATTCTCAGCGAAATATCACACAATTTCAATTTATCCTGGGTTTGGGGTTTAGGATTGGGGCTTCTGTCAAACTTGAGATGCTAGAAGGGGAGGTTCTATGGGCGGGGGTGTCAGCATTGGAGCTGCTGCTTTGTGTGACGGAGGGGGGAAAGGGGGGTTGTATGAGGAGGAGTCGCAAGCTTCTAGAATGCCGAGCTCCGAACGATAAGCCTGCACAGGGCTTGGCGGTTTAGGGTTTAGGGGTTTGGGGTTTAGGGTTTCGGGTAAAGGGGTTTTGGGTTACCAAACAGCTGTCAAACTAAGCCCAGCGCCAGGTCACCCAGCTTCTGCTGGAGAACCAAGCTGATCCCAACGCAGCGCGAAGCCTCAGTGGGCGGGCCAGAACCCTAAACCCCAAACCCTCAACCCTAAAGTTTAGGGTTTAGGGCCGGTTTAGGGTTTAGGGTTATGGTGCCCACATCCCCTACCAACACCACCAACACCACCAACGGGCAACCACCACAGACGGGGTTTGCCTCCTCCCGAGCTGGCTCGTATGCCTCCGTCTCGGTGAAAGTCACCGAGACCAAAATGGCAAATTGCTGGGTCCCGGGTGGACACGGTGCAGACGGCCTCTTCGGCCTCTTCGGCAGCAATGCAGAGTTGCTCTGACTGTCAATCGTCATGTGCTTGCTAGACCCAGTCAGGATGATGAGGACATGGGTGCGTTTCCCCAGCTTGGGCGTAGCCATCTTGAAGAAGTATGACAAGCTCATCCCCACAGACGGCGATGACCTGCACCTGGCAAGCCGTGACTTCAAGCAAATTCTCTTCAAGGGAGTGGTTCTCCCAGTCATCAATGAGCTTGGCCCACCATTGACAGACTCTTTTCGTTCAAGGTTCCCTGAAAAAGGTAACCCTGCACCCTAAACCCTTCCAAGCCCAAAAAGGGTACCCTTATTGTAATATGGCTACTGGGCTACCAGGGAAACCGTCCGAGAGCCGCGCACCCCAAACCCCTCCGAATCTTTCGCACCCTGACTCAGCAATCGAGTGAGCAACCCGGTTTGGTTAGGGTTTAGGGTTCAGGGATGAGGGTTTCGGGTCTCGGGTCTAGGGTTTAGGGCTTGGGGTTTAGGGTTTAGGGTTTAGGGTTTGGGGCTTAGGGCTTAGGGTTTAGGGTTTCGTTAGGCTCAAGGGCCCGTGGGCGAGCGCCTCGCGGCCGAGACCAAGGAAGCAAACTCCTTTCCTTCGACACCCAGGAGAACTTCTTACCCCCCCCCCCCCTATGCTAGGGTTTAGGGTTTAGGGTTTAGGGTTTAGGGTTTAGGGTTTGGGGTTTGGGGTTTGGGGTTTGGGGTTTGGGGTTTAGGGTCTATACGACCCAGGGTAGGCCCTTATTCCCCCTTTTTTCGGGTTTAGGTTCCCTTGTTGGCCCCCCTTAACAGCCCAAAAGGGCACCCTTTGTAGGCCACCTGGACCCTTTGTTACAGGAAAAAGGGACCCTAAACCCTAAACCCTAAACCCTAAACCCTAAACCCCTAAACCCTAAACCCTAAACCCTAAACCTTTTTTGTATTCCGTTCAGCAAACTTGGCCCTCGAAGCCCTCATGTCTGAACCCGAGAATGCTCAGCGGTGCCTCGATAAAATGCTTACGCAAACAAGGGTTTAAGGTTTAGGGTTTAGGGTTTAGGGTTTAGGGTTCTTTTTCCTCCCTCAAGCCTTATAAACCTGGAACCCTAAACCCTAATCCCTTTGAGGAGCAAGGGTTCTCTTTCCTCCCTCAAACCTTATAAGATTATAAACCCGAAACCTAAACCCTAAACCCTTTGAGGAACCCAAGTCATTATCCCAAACAAGCCCAAGCAGAAGCGCAATGTCCAAATCAGGTGCTGCCGGATCTATCGACGCCGCTGATGCTCGCCGTGGATGAGGCCGGCACGCTTCTTCTTGCTCGTTCAGGGTTTCGGGGTTTAGGGTTTAGGGTTTAGGGTTTGGGGGTTTCGGGTTTAGGGTTTAGGGAAGTTTAGGGTTTAGGGGTTTAGGGTTTAGGTTTTAGGGGTTTAGGTTTTAGGGTTTAGGTACTAGTGTCGAGATGGCCAGGTAGTGCCTTTCATTTCCTTTTCTGGGCTTTACGTAGGTTCCCTTATACCCCTTGAGGCAAACAGGGCACCCTTTTTTAATCCTAGGTTACTGGGCAGCCTAGTTCTCTACTCATGAAGATTCCTATTCCCCAAACCCTAAACCAGAAACCCAAAACCCTAAACCCTAAACCCTAAACCCTAAACCCTAAACCTTGTTTTTTTGTGTTGCCTGCTGCTGGTTGCTGCTGCTTCTGGCTGCAGGTTCTTTGAAAGGGGCCCCCAGACGCCGAGTGAGGCCGAAGGCTTCCCCAAAACCCCAAACCCTAAACCCCAAACCCTAAACCCTAAACCCTAACCCCTAAACCCTAAACCCTAAATGCAGGCCCACATACCTGTGGCCCAGCTCCTTCTGGAGCACGGCGCGCTCACCAAGTGCAAAGATGAGGTGCGCCGTAAGGTTTAGGCTTCAGGGTTCAGGGTTCAGGGTTCAGGGTTTAGGGTTTAGGGTTTAGGGTTTAGGGTTTAGGGTTTAGGGTTTAGGGTTTAGGGTTTAGGGTTGAGGGTTACTAGGACCCAGGCTAAGCCCTTCTTCCCTTCTTTAAAGCTTCAGGTTCCGTTATAAGCACCTTTTTAGACAAAAGGGCGCCCTTTGTTATCCCTAGGTTACTC